CTAGATTCTGAAGCAGTGCACTGCTGCGATGTAAATATCAAACAGCGAACGATCAATGAAGTCCGCGACCAGCTGATATTTAACTTTATCAATAGCTGCATATTTTCAGAATCAGACAAGCTATCTAAAATTGTTCAAGAAAGGGGAAAAGAGCAGACAACTAAAAACGAAAAGTGCTCATGGCTGCATCAGCAGTAGCGCAGGTAGTTGACCTGGCGTTCCTGTTACCAGGACGACCGTACTCTTCTCTCTCTCCCTCCCGTGACGTCACGGGACAAGCTCGCCCTCGGGTTTATGGGTGACCCACTTTCCAAAAATAGACACCGCCGTCGACTACCACCCCGCCACTGAAAGGGGTGCTCTTCCCCGCGCTTAGCCTGCCAACCAATGGTTCAGATCTTATACACACACACACACACATACACGTATATTTGTACATTGCATCTACCTGGCTGAAGGTTTTTACTTGATTGTTTTTTCGGGAAAATTTGGAAGTATCGCCCAAATGAAGACTGATGGAAATAATTTTTCTTAAACTTTGAAACACGAAAGATCAATTATACATTAAATGTCGCATATGCATTCAAGTTATAACTTATTAATATATATAACACTTAACTTATATATAAGATTGAAGTATTACTCATATATATAAATTATTAATTACATTTACTCTTGCTGAAACCTATTATTAGTTGAGTGATAAGTACTAGGAATGATAGTTTAATACATATTTTTGTATCTATTATATATACACACACACACACACACACACACACACACACACACACACACATACATATATACATTCATACATACATACATACATACACTCGTGTAGCAGTGCAGTAATAAAGAGTCGAATGACTCTTATGATGTATATTGAGATGATGATACTACACCTATTGTAAGCTTACGCTACAATGGTTCTTTCAAATGTTATGTTTGCAAATTAATATAGATCATATACACAGTTGCAACTACATAATATCGGATGTAGAGTGAGTGTATAGTCGGTTTAGCGACCGCAAACTACAGCACTATCCAATATTTTTATTTTCATCTGGCGTTGACGACCCATACCTAGTGGCACATTACCATGGAGAAAAATTAAGAGTACGCATTGATTAGTTTAATTGCAAATACATGTTTATTTTTGTCTTTATATTAGCTTATCCAGTACGATTATAGCTTAATCTCACGCGAGACTCTATTTCTCTTTGCAGACGTAAATCATGCAACAATGCATGTACAGTCGTTGACGAATGAAAGTTTGCGTTTAGACCTCAAATCCCGCAGCAGCTGCCGTAATAACGAAGACAATTTCCAGGACGACAAATTGAATTTGAATGGGGAGCGAAAAGGTGCCCTCGTAACCAATATGGGTCAGTGCAGTAGAAGCAGCGCTGGCAATATTCGACAACGCTAACGCAGCATGGCTGACTGCCTTAAACGCGAACGAAGCAGCAGCAGCCGGAACCTCAACTAGCTGAATAATAGAAGACGGTGGCGGTGGGCGATCGCTTGCTGCTGTCGCACCGAGTGGCAAATTGGCGTGCATCTGCGCGTGAGATTCGCCCGCTTTGCTCCAATACCATTGTCTATCTAGCTGTGTACGCTGAGCTGGCAAATCAAGGAGAAAAAAGAAACTCAATTATACTACGCTCACAGTTTATCTGATTATTTTTAATACTTTTATTGCTAAATGCATCCATTCATTATACTTGTGATGTTTTTGAACTGGTTATCACTTACCACTATAACTTCTATAATGACAAACGTTATTAAAGAAATATTTTCACAACTCATTTTAATTAGATAATCATGAATAATAAGAAATATAAACAATTAAACGTTTCTAATTATACAGACTTTAAGATACATCGTGTTAATGTTTACTGTAAAATAAGAAATAAATTCAATAAACAAGTGATTACATTTTCCAAGCTTTGGTCACAGACATTAATTTGCCCGATCTAACTTCTTTTTATCAACTGCGACATTTATTCGTGCTACAACATTTACAAAGTAAACGAGAATCTATGCTTTCAGTAAAAAAATAATCAATGGTGATATTGCTGTTATTAAAAAATGTTTAGCAAATATTTTTCTGGAGTGTAATAATAGTATTTGCATATGTATTAAACGTTGCTTAACAAAAGTTTATATTCCATTTTTTCATCTTAATTTCGATGAACACAAGTAAATACATTCAAAATATTGCGCAATTGAATTGCATCGCACACCTTTCACTTTCGTCAATGCTAATTGTTATGGTCCTTAAGATTTGCATCGGGAATAATGATTATTTTAACATTCTCTCATAAACGTTATGTGCAAAAATAATAAATACACATACAGAAGAATACTTCACCCGTAGCTTGATTCGCCATCTCCAATGTTAAGATTGCAATTGAACTACAAGCTCTTATCGTTGAGCGGTATCGACGAAAACTGCTGTATCAAGGTGGCCGCTGCTTGAGCTTGAGCTTCCGACAAACGACGTGGCCAACACTGCTCGATTGTTTGACAATATAGTGTACTATTTTAACCTTTGTAAACCATCGATTATTATTAATGACGTATTTACGTACATTGATCAAACTATAGTTTAAAGATGTAACCTTCACATTTTAATTCACGAACGATGTTACTTTTCATTATCTAAATTCCTTCTTTACTAACTTTAACCGACAATGAGGAATAAACAAATGGCATTTACAAAATTAAATCAGCTTATAAACAGCAGATAAAATTTTACGCTTCATTAATAAACAAAGAACTATCATAGAAAATGAATACAAATTCAAAGGGCAAAAATTGAAATTGAATGGAACAAAAGTGAAAGCTCCCGTCGCGTTACGCTAGTCAACGCATGTAATATTCACGTAGATCGCAGCTAAACAGGCCTTTGGCTCGCGGCCAAAATTTCCGTCAGCCTGTTAATAATATCCGAATACGCTTCGACGCCGAATCGACTATCAAGCGTCAGGAATACGAAAAACCGATACCATGCGAGCGTGCACTTGCTCAATGCGCAATTGCGGGCTTAACGCTCGTTTACCAATTGAACTTGGACAGCTTTTGAACGAAGCGCGCACGATTATGCTTCCCCCTAATTTTATTGGCTGAGAGATTAATTAAACTGGCTCGGATCGTAGTTGATGTGCAAGCTGTTGACTATGGCTATTGCGATACAGTATTGTCTTTATGAGTGTTCGGAACTTGAAGTGCGTAATTGACCAATAATTATTGGAACAACTGCCAGCACTTCCTATTTCAAGCAAGGTTAAAATAAACAATACCTAATTAATTGACACAAGAGACTATTTCACATTGTGACAGCTGATAATAATTATAGAATTAATTGCATATATCACTGTAATTTAAATGTCGTATTAAACATAAATATTTTATTTTAATCAATCACAGTACAAAAATGAAAAGATCTTATTAGTTAATAGAAGTGATAATTAAAAACAAAGTGAATAAATAAATAATCAGAATGACATTTTATTGTTTGAAAAATAATTGGTTAGTTGGTATTGACGTCCTCGAATCTGTAGTGAAGTAGATACTTATCATAAAATTCCAACATAGTCCATGTTTACCAAATAGTTATTGTAATAAAAAAACGAAAATTCTTCAAGCAATAAAAATAATATAAATTATTCAATTACCGATTGGTCAAAATTTTAAAGACTGTCAAATTTCTTGAAGTAAAAATTCCATTTTTCATGTTAAATCATTATCTGATAATTACGCAAGAATATATAAAACGTAATCTTAATCCGCTGATACCCTTGCAGTCAATTTTCCATATCGACAATAAAAGAGATAGTAAAAGCACATCAGCCCGGGAGACGAATTAACTAGGACAACACGCGAAGGTTTTAATACCACGAACGGTTTTAGTACTACGAACACGTACCTTCGTCTAGTTGCGAAAACAAATTTACCGCGTGTGACTTTCAAAACGTAGCGGCTCATTCACCACGCTTGAGTGAACGTACATTTTATGACGAATTCCTGGAACGGTGGCGAATCGAGATAGTCTGCACTTGAATTTTAATATGCAGCTCGAATTTTAAGCTCACCAGTGAACTTTTGCTTCTCAACTTTGTAGTAATTTTTAGCACAAATTCATTTTCAAAGAGTTAGTCAAAATAAAATTCTAGTTACATATATCTTCAAGAAACTATGTCACTTAAAAAATTTACATTAGTTTACATCATTTTCTCGGCTTATTTTTGGCACGTTCCCTTCGCGAGTTTATTTTTCACTGCACATTGCAGATTTTAGGTGCGATACTGAAAGAATTAAATTATAAATAAGTCTGTATCTTTTAAAAAATTCAAAATTTCCGATACAAATCAAGAACTTCTTTATTAAGCCTCTCATTGACTTTCATTATTTATAAATGATAGGTAGCGAATATTTTTATACACTTTATACATATATTTGCGAATTCATCAGGAATATCTTTCTTCAGGATTACTTAAAGACTTAGAAATACATTTTCTAAACACAAAAGCGAAAACATAAGACATTGATGAGTCTATCGTAATTAAATATATTGTACATTTGTTCAAACTCGATAGGCTGGATTCGATGATTGTTTCCATAATAGCAATGTTATTTATAGAGCTCCAAAGTCGCAACTGCCGTCCTAAAGTACACATCTTTTTTGCGCTGCCTTGTTGTGAGATCTAAAAAAAATGAAAAGCAACGAAGAAGAGGTCGCGCTTAGCTGCAAAGAAACAAAGCCGAATAGAATTCATAAAAATTGAAAAAGGATATGAGCCTGAGCATTGGGCTCGGGAGCAGGCAGTGGCGCTTGGCGGGGTTCCGTTTTCAGCAGCAACTTATTTTTAGCAATAGTTGTGCGAGAGGGAGAGAGACGTTCTAGAGGCCCGCGTCTCGTCTAAAACCGTCGCAACCAATCGTCTTTGTTGGCCGAACGTTTCGTCTCTGTCTAAACGCTGGTGCTATCTCGCTCTCACTCCCGGCAACGGCTATAGTTTTTTTCGTTAGCCGATGACTCTTACAGTCAGCTGCCGCAAGCTCAGTTGACTAGTCACACGCAGACAGTCGTTCGGTGTACAACTTCAAGGTAAGCGGAACTGATAATTCTTCTCTTTTTCTCGACTTCGGTCTATCTACACACTGTTCAGTTCTGTGTTAAGGGACTGTCGCACCGCCTGATATAGTGATTTTTCCGATTTCGAGCATAGGCGAGCAGTTTTGTGAACTAGTGTTCGTTTTGCGTTTCAAGTGGAACTTTCTTTTTCTTTTCTTTTTTTTTGTTAAATCTCGTTCTAACTTGTTGATTCGCCCTTTTCGCCTCTGGTTTGCGTACAGCTGATCGTTATTGTTTTATGTGCGAGTGTCAGGCCTTGAAGGATAAACGAGTGACGACTGTGCAACAGTTCAGTTTATTGAAAAACAACTTTTTGTTTTTAACGATAATTTGGTTATTTGCCAGTTTTCGTATTACATGGAAACTCGTATTATCCGGTGCTGTATTAGCTAATCTTTCGAGGATGCTTCTAATTTTACCATCGCTTACGTACACAAGCCAGTCGTTTATATTTAACTTCTCTAATATCAACTTCGCTCGCGTATTCTTCTTCATTTCTACGATCGATTATCCGTGAATTTACTAGTGTATGGAATTTCGCAATTGGTGCATTGACCATTGTTTATTTCTATCGTGAAATGTAGTACACATATTTGCCTTGACAATGAGGTAAGCGTCGATGACGACTGTCGTATACGAGAGAAAAAAATGTGAATGATCTGCCAGTGATTCCGGATGGCTTGATGTAATAACTCGGCCAAATTCGGTATTTTTATTATTAGCCGGATGGGGCGACAACTGGCAGAGAAATCGGTATTGGTCTGCCAATTAGACAAGCACTAGAGTTCATCTTGGTTATTAATAAAACTCAATATGTAAACGCTGTGTTTCGTTACTATTTGATCGAGATATACGTTGCTCGAGTTCAAAATAATTCAAAGTTTATGTCAATTTACTTTGTCTTATAGATAAGGTTAATATGTCTATCAGAAACTATACTTTATCTTAACGGATTCGTTTTTAAATATCCAGATGTAAAAATAGGTGAGACATCTACTACATGCCATTTCCTCGACCACTTCAGAAATTAGATTTAATCAATTTAGTGTACATAATAGCATCCATCTGAGATTAGACTGCTAAAACTAAAATAGATCTTCTCCTATTTTATACTGTAATATTGAAAATTCAATGATGTTATTGATGAACGTCAAAAAGTGAGATAGAAGAGGCGAACGATTTGATTTTATACAACAGTTGCGATATTTTCAGTAATAATGGAGGCAATAAGCATTACTTTTTGTTTTTTTTCGTTCATCGAGTTCTTCATGCGTGTGCAAACTGCTTTCACGATGCATTTGGAATTTATTAAAAAATTTTAGAAAGCGAGAAAACTACTTGTGTATAGAATGGAAAAGACAAAGTAGATCGCGAAAAGAAAAAAAATTGTAATCGTAGCTCGGGCGGCCACTATTTTTGAGCCCGAGTATCGTTTTCTCACTTTTCCGACGGCAGAATGCTCAGCGTTATGCACGGTGCGTCGGTGGCGGTAGCATGACTTGGAATGGCTGCTCGCGTACCTTCGGCTCTTCTATACTTAGCAGCCTGGCCGATCGACTTCGTTCGCTCGTTATAAATAAAAGCTCCGGCGCGGCTCGCGTATTTTTACAGCCCACAAAAATCGAGCGATCATGTTTACAGCATAACCATTGGACGCAAGCTCGATTCCCACGAAATTTCACGCGTGGGAGCCTTTTCTATTTGTTCAAGTATTTGATGGATTTACAAGCTTCGTCTTTTTATATTATAACGTTCAGTATCATATGACTAAAAATGCATTGGTATCTTTAAAATGAATTTCAATCTCATCATAAAAACGACATATTAAGATTAATGTCAAATAATTGCATTTCCCATAATAATTTTGTGAAATTTTACATAAAATTTTACATCATGAATTCCGGATAAAAAATCACACGATTGTAAAAAACGGTGCTGCGTAATAGCATCGTAAAAACATCAAAGTTTTTATTCGCAAACATTTCCACCATCTCGAGTTTCAATCGTAACCTCAATTTCTATAAATAATACCTTGAAAAACTACTCGACTCATTTTCAACGGTTTAATAAAACTAAAATTATAGGCCAAAGAAAAAATAACAATAGCATCTAGCTTTTATTTTTTCACACTTCTTTTTAATTTTGTTTAAAAACCAAAAATAAAAAGTACAAGTAATCATTTGATATCGATCAATTGCTTTGAAAATGACGTCTAATTTACGTCCTGTAATCTCCATAAAATCTTTCATTTTTCTCTCGAGCAGCTACTGTTTTTACAATCGCAATATTTTAATATCCGTCTAAGATTTTATACTACCATTTCTTTCATCTTCTTACTTTCACATTCTTTCTCGCAGCCGAGTATAAATCTGAATTAACATTCTAACCCAGTAGCCGTGATTCAAACATCAAACTCCACTTAACTATAAAATTCTTACGTGTCCCGTAACTCATATGACAATCTCGTGCTCGTAATCAGTCTATCTGTAATAAAAGCGAGCAGCAGCAGTTCCCCGCTAGCAGAGTTTTAATTGTATGAAGGGCGCGACGTACGACGATTGGTATCTGCAAAGTTAAATGCGTAGGCCTCCTTCTCATCTTCTTTTCCTTTCCTATCGAACTCGTTTCGTTAGTTGAAAAGAGTGCCAGTACTTGCGCAAGCTCAAAGAGAACGAGAGGAAAATCCACCGACAGCTTGTATTTATCTTTTCGACAGATCGACGTCGTCTACGCGAGTATACGTCTACTTGTAAATTCGTTTTAGGAAAGTGATACGAGTTCGTTGCGATTCGCTGGAAAACTTGCCAATTTGAATCAAAGTGTAGTCAAAGGGATGTCTGCACACTCTATTAAAAAATATTTTTTAAATAAGCGTATAAATATTTACATTTTCCGTCTATGTCGTTTCGAAATACTTCAATGTCATTAAAAAAACGTACTCGTCCGATTTTCTTACATTCCGTAGACCACTAAATTCCTTTCGTAACGCGGCTTTCGTAAAATACATCAAATTCCGTCGTTAGAATGTTTCATCAAGCACTTATACGCATTTACACGGCGAGGAAGATAATGAGATTCCAGTAGAACGTTTTCAAATAATTTGAGTATGATTACAATGGAAATTAGTAGTATTTACAATGGAAACAAATTTTGATTTTATAAATACTACTTTGAATTCAAAATTAAACTTGAGCTTGACATTTTGAGTTCGAAGCTATATATATAAAAATTTATCAAGGTTAACAGAAGTGTCCAGTATTTACAAATGAAATGTGGTTTCGTCCTTTTTAACTGTGGTCATAATTAGGATGAATGCGTTATTGAAGCTGCATCGTTATCAGAATATATTCTATATTTCGAATCGATATTGCGATGACTGTAATGCGATGTCCAATACGTTCGAATGGAGTTTCTAGAAAACTTTAGCGATATTTCCAATTGTTGTGTCCGTTTTATAAGAAAATGTCTCATATTTAGCATTGATTGCAGTGTTCCAAAAGCCGACTTTATAAATTCAACGCGTACATCGTTGACATAATAACATTTTTACGCAAATCGCTGTAATCAGACAAACAAAATGTGCGCAAGCGACGTGGACGGGGGCGCGTGCCGCGTTGTAAGTAACCAAATTTGGATCGCGATGCATGTCCGTGAGCTACACGAGTAAGAGGCAGAGGAAAAGAGGGAAGACTATTTTTGAGCGAAGTCGGATACTCTATACCCGCGGCCGACGATTCACGCACTACGCATTCTCGCTAACGCAATTTTTTCACGTCATTTCGAAAAAAAAAAAAGTTTTTGGTTGTTTGAGTCGAAGAGTTCTTCTTGGTGAAATTGATGAATTTCGTTAACTATCGATTTTTTATTTTCAGGTAGCTGTAAATAACAACCGGACTCAAACATGGCTGACGATGAGGTTAGGTATGTATTGAAAAATCAAAATAAGATTTCATTATTACTTTGGAAAAGTGTTAATGGTTTAATTGATTTGTAAGTAATTATTGATCGATTTATTTCAGCAATAACCTGTTATCGTAATGGAACCCATATTTACTACGAAAATAGAATAGTCAATTTGCATTTTGTCGAAACAAATACTTTTTTTATTCAAGTAAAATACTCCATAAACATACGAATACTCACATACAAACAAACCAGAGTATTCAGAGTAAACAAATGACTAACTAGGAACGGTCTTGTTTTTTTCATGTTTTTCGTTTGGTCATCTTCCGGATCAACGCACACCCAAATCCCGAACAAACAACGCTAAATCGGAATCTTTCGACATGTCAACTCCTCCGTGTTTGTCCATGGGGAAAACATTGAACGCGTGCAGTATACAAATCATTAACAGGTACGGCATATCGCTTCAGCTTTGCTTTTACCGAATATCTTGCTAAGTTGTAAATATAGACGGAACTCTCCATCACTCTGCTTTTGCTTTCACAAAGTCCAAGCTGTGTATGTACTGTACGTACCAGCATCCGTAGTATCAAAGTGCAAGTTACACTCTGAACGCGTTCAAGATTGAGGGCGAAAATTCAATTTTCCGTTATTTACTCTTCCTATGTTCATTTACGTGGAGATAAAGATTCATTAAGCACAAAACTGTTGGATAGACTGAAAATTGCTTGCCGAATACTGAAGCTTGCAAGTTTAACCTAGTATACCGATTTAGATTCGCTCGTAGACTGTTTTGAAGTGGACTTTGTGCAAGCAAACTCGAGTAAGTAAGAGAGTCTGTACAACACACCTCCCCCGATTTTCTGGTCTTATAGTGACGTAGCTGTTGCTAGTGATAGTTATATCTTTAGAGAAAGCCAACCGAGAGTCGTTCGCCCTCGGTACACATACATACTCTCTGGCCGAGACGGAGGCGACGCTCGTCACCCACTTTTACGCTTTTTATAACTCTTCTCTCTTGCGCGCCAGAGACTTCAGATTACTAGGTTTCTCGCGCGCAGTGAGATACTCACCTGACGAGGAACCAAAGAAAAGCGAGAATCAAACTCGTTTTATTTTTTTTCTATGTAGTTGCTGTAATTGCCAGTCATCCTTAATTTTTTATCTATACGTTTTGTAAATATAAATCGATGCGAATTTCCATATACGCCTCAATAATTAAATGACACGTTATCTTTTAAAAAAATACCAATATGGAAAATCGTCGTTAAACATTCATACAACCATTAATTCCACAGATAAAAGTAGTATGTAGAACTAATTTTGTAAATATATTATTTATATAATCTGTACATGTACATAATCAGACGAATATATGTCATTATTAATCACAAATTCAACAATAAATCTCGACTTCCGTATCCAAAGTACTCGTTTGCAAATTCGCATGGTTTTGCTTTTGAGAGAAATAAAGTACGATCAAAGCAAAATCAATGCGGCTTTACTAAAAGCTAGGATTCTCCGAGGTAGTAGTTTGTAGCCATTATATGACGGTGAGGGATTAGCGGGCCGAGAGTCGTTAAAGTACTTTGTGGTATACGGGGGTCGGCGAAAAACACAAAAAATTACTCAACACCTACGCCACTGGAGCACACAGCGGTAAAGTAGAAACACTCTCCTCTCACATGTACACCGTTTTTACGTGCATACGCGGATATATAACTGCATGACCCTGCGCTAATCTGCAGAGCTGCGAATCGCACTTACCAAGCAACAACAAAAGAAAACTAACGCCCTTAAACCAACGCGATTGTGTGTTTGTCCGAATGCCTGCCACTTCTTTCTTTCTATTTTTTTTTTTATCGCGCTTCTTCTGAGGCTGGCGCTCAGCCGAGTTTATAACGCTCGAGCGAAACTCATTTAGCTCTCTTGTGTCACGCACGTAAATTGGAACTCTATGTGATTATATTTTGCGCGAGGATGCGGCGGAGGTAGCGGCTGATGAAAAATTTTAATGAAATAACGCTGCCCTCGTGTAATTGTTTGCGTTAATATTATTTTTTAATGGACGAACTTTTCGAAAAAGTTTCGCTTGTCTAGTTCTTGAAATGTTAAATCAGCACAACTTTTATTGTCATACATTACTTGTTTTTTTTTTCTATGAGCTCTTCAATTCTACATGCGTGAAATTGTTATTTTGATGTTTGTTTTACTTTTTTTTTCACATAATCCGAAGAAAAATGTAATTTTTCAATTATAATGAAACATTTAAAAAATCACAACGGTTCTAATTCGTATTTTGTTTCTTTTTCATTACAGAGGAAGCGCATCGAGGATGTACGTAAATGGAGCCGACGTCGTTTCTGGATTATTCAAAAATTATTTTCAATTTCTTACTAAAGCAATAATATTGTTTTACTTTAAAGCAATCGCATTTTTTTCATAAAACATCAAATAACTGCTATTGTTATATATTTTTGTTTACATTATATTATTATTTTTCTTGAACTTTTATATGTTCGAGTTGAACGTTTCTAACGCGAAAAGAGATTGTTTAAAAAAAGTATTATTTGGAGCTAAAAAGAATATTGTACACTGCAAAATGTAGGAAAAGAAGAGGAAACAGGCAGAGACCGACAGGAAAAGGGCCGAAGTCCGTGCCCGCTTGGAGGAGGCGAGCAAGGCCAAGAAGGCAAAGAAGGGTTTCATGACTCCTGACCGCAAGAAGAAACTCAGGGTACGTAAATATTTTTCAGCTAAGTAATAGGAATATTTTATTATTCGAGATGACAATCCTTTCATAAATTCAGTATATGAATGACGTACTTGTTAGTAATTGAGTACTAACAGTGTTCAATTTCAAGCGAGTAAAGTTGATCATTGCTGTAAATCTTCTACAGGAAAAACTTTTCGCCTTCTATTCCATTACCGAGTCGCTTAATCACGAACGAAAAAGATTACAAAGTCCGTTTAATCTTTGTCTTGTAGCTCTTGTTGCGTAAGAAAGCTGCCGAGGAATTAAAGAAGGAACAGGAGAGAAAAGCGGCTGAGAGGAGGCGTATCATCGAGGAGCGTTGCGGGAAACCCAAGGATGTCGACAACGCTAACGAAGGTATTTTGCAAAGCGGAATTTCCGCGTATGCGTCTCTTTATCTCGTTTTCGTTCCCTTTTTTTTCGCTCGTTTACCAAGCTCAGTTTTTCTCTAAAGATAGTCCACAATGACACTTATTAATGTCGTTTCTCTGTTTATATAGCAACTGGACATTCATTATTTGTACGAACAGTATGATTATTTTTCAAATATTTCATTTAAATTAACACAGTCGAAAATTATATTAATATGAAGCAGTCAAATATCGAAAAATTAAGAAGAGCATGAAAAAAGGGCATGTGAAACTTTTACAATACCAATAACAGATCCATCGTCAAATATTTCGAAAAGTAATAAAATAGTAAACAGATGATAATTGTGTACGATGGATCTATTACGATAACATTTTTTAATTAAATTCTATAGCATTACTGAAAAATAAAAATTAATCATATCAATTTTTTAAGTAGGTAACATTATTATCGAAAATCAAAAAATTAAATGCTATTTTTTCAACAATGTCTCTCATTAATATCATCTCTTTTTTAGCTATTATTATAGTTTTACATACACAAAAACAAATTTTTATTTATTAAAAGTAGGAACATTACACTTCACACAAACAGCTATTATTTACTTTATCTAGCACGAAATATTTATCAAATATTTCGTAGTTTATATATGTCGATTTAGAGATCTTTTGGTAGTTATTACCAATGAGTTAAAGTATATATATTTTGTAATATTCCGAAATTGCCATAAAAAATTTGATTGAGCATGAAAATATAAGTTAAACTTTCAATAAACGCGCAGAGCAAATCAAGCGGGTGCTGCGCGATTATCATGAAAGGATCTGCAAATTGGAGGATAAGAAATTCGACATCGAGTATGTCGTGAAGAAGAAAGATTACGAGGTATACATTTTAAGCGCGTATCTATTGGAATTTTGGTCTCTATCTGAAGCAACTTTATTTCTAATTTTTTTTTATTTTTCTCTTTATCTTTGAGCGTCAAACGACGATATTAATGAATAATAATTACTTTAATTCTTCCGTCTTTTTTTCTCAATAATAATCTTCGTGTATTTGATAACGTTGCGGACTTCGCATTTAAACAACAAGAGCTTTAGCATTGAAATTTTTAACCAGAGGTTTTTAAACTATCTTTTTTCTTAAATTGTGATCTTCTCACGTATTGAAAAGCAAATATAAGTTCGAAAATATTTTTGTGTAGTAATAGATTTGCTTTTGAATACAGGTATTCTTTGTATAACGTTGTTTTTTTTTCTATCTGTATCTTTGGTCGACCGTCTTAAAGTATGTATTATTTTTGTTTTCGGGAACTCACAATATTACAAAATTGTGACTAACAAAACGAAATACAAATGTCTTTCAATTTATTTATTTGCAAAGCGTAGCAAATTTTTCGAAAATTATGTTTGTCTTTGTTTCGTATTTTGTCTATCTACAAGCCTAATCATACGTCGATGTCTATGCTATACTTTTCAGTACTTTTCAATTTGTTTTTCATCACTTTATTCTTCACCTCTATTTTTCTCTGTCAGTGAATTTTTTTTTTCTGAACAAAGCGACGCGCTTTCGTCTACGTCTACTATGCTACTTGTCTCTGTCTTTTTTTTTATTATTTTGAACTTACACCAAATACCTTTATTCCATCATTACTGAAAAGAAAAAAAAATTTGTTACGTAAAAAAAAAAAGTCGCCACGCACACGCTGAAATCTTTCCTTGTCGCTGGTTCTTTCAAACTCTTTAATTAGCCAGAGGTTCGGATGCTCATTTCGCTCGAACACAGTTTCGATTTTAAAGCAATTAATTAAGCTTCCTGATTTATGCAGGATCGGATGGGATTTAAAATTTACTCAGCTTGCATTTTTGCCGCGTTCGTTGCATTTTTCCAATCAAAGTTGAAATCTTCTAGCTGCTCGCATTTAATCTTGGACATACGTAGCTTGACCAAATTAAATTCCAAGCAACAACATCGTCTACCATTAAAAATATTATAGTTAAAAAATTAATCAAATCTGTGAATGATCAATTGAAATAAAATATAAAAATACGAAAGCTCGTCGACTCACTAAATTTCGCATTTTGACAGCGACCGTGAAGTCGATCGTGATCCAGTATCATAAAAGGATCAGCGCCCTCGAGGAGCAGAAGTACGACCTTGAGTTCGAAGTGATTAAGAAGGATTTTGAGGTCATTCTTTTAAAAAATCATGGGCTCTGAACATTTATAAATAATTACTGAATAATCGTTTATCTAGGTAGTGCAATTAATGCCGAGCCGACATAGTACAAATTTAATTTAATTGCAATTTTTTAATTACTTTCTATTACGTATTTTGTCTCAATGTATAAACTTACAATTTTTCGTTAGAAGTCAGATTATTGAACGTTGATCAATGCTGCTCTTTGATTAATCGTCAAAATAGTTGTTGGATGAAATATTTCACAATTTTACATGCTTTGTAATTGATTGCGTTACAATAGTCTTGCTCCAATGAATAATTTGTTCACTCAGCGTAGTATCGCAGTACCGCAAGAATGAAATGCCGCCCCACAGTATTGTAGTATTTCGTAGTGTCGCAGTATTAGCCGCAGTATACACATGGCTCATTCATTATTGACATTCACATCCATTTCTTACACTCTCTATCTCTGGCTATCTTTCTCTTTCTCTCTTTACCTATCACTGCTACTCATTATCTGGCCTTTTTATTAAGTATTCCATTGTCGCGAGTACAACGATTTTTAAATACTTGAAAAGCAACTGACACGGTTACCATTTTTGAAACTCTTAATTAGAACACATTTTTCAATTATTCAATTGATGCGCTTTTTATTATTTCTCAAACATTACAAAACGTAATTTGATAAACAACGAGAAACAAACTGCAGACTATTTTGTAAGAACGTAATCTCAGTAGTACAGCAGGATTTTACGAGATATAGAAGCGGATATTGAACTTGTCGCCTGCGCAGTGTTCACTCAAACTTTTTCACTCATTCTCTCTTTCTCACTTGGCCGTGCAAAGCGAGCTTCGCGTCATCACGTATTCATGGGCAAATCTTTGCTTCATGTGCGCATAGGGCGCTAGAGAGGCGGAGACAAAAGTTTCTTAACCAGCGCGCTCGCGGCAGAGAGCGTTTTCACATTTCAGAAAATGCTGCACTTTAATAATTTACAAACATTTTGCAATACATTAGCAGCTGTTTCAACGACCGTTTTTCTCTGAACTTTTCGAGCATCAGTGTAATGTTATTTAAAAGTTCCTGTCAATCCATTTTACGCTTACAATATTTAGCTTTTCGCCACCTACATTTTATTTACATTTGAATGAACAATGCAATTACAACAGTATTTTGAACTTGAAATTTGACCAAAAAATTGAACAAATATGAAATGTACTATTTTAAAAAAGAATAGTGACAGTTCAAATTTACCATGAAATATTTTTCAACGCTATTCTACTGATCCGGAAACAATCCACACTTTATTGTCAAACTTATCAGCGAACCGTAATATTCACATTACATTGATCAAATGATTTCCAACAAATATGAAAATTAGAAATCTCGAAAGAATGAAATTCCATATCATAGATATCCAGGAAAGTCCTTAAAAATCAGTAGAAATTACCTTAGCCACATTGTATATTATATATAATATAAGGATGGCAATGGTATGGATAGAGTATGTGTAAAGGATCAGAAATCCACTTTCGTCAAAATTTTTGTTTGTAAATTTTTATTTTTTAGCCGAGCTGCAGACGATTTGTTTTGAACTTTGGCAAAGAATGTACGATCTCGAGGGTGATAAATGGGACCTTGAACGGACAAGTAGAATGAAAGAATTCGAGGTATCTAGCCGTCTCCATCTCAAAGGAAAATCCTAAAAATTATACGTGGAACCCTAATCTCACAGTTCCCACACCAAAACTCTAACTTTGAATTACTGATTTTTTTTAGTTATTTTAGTTTATTTTTTTCAATAGAAGAGTTAGCGTTTCAACAAAAATCACGCATTTACATTTTGCAAACAGATACAACCATGTACACAGTATCTGAAATGACCAATTTGAAATCAACAATACACCCATTTAAATACAATCCTATATGTTTAACCATGAAATTGTTAATTTGTGACCAAAGAATTTCCTTTTATGTTTTGTTTTTACCTGTTATCTCACTTTCACCATATTTATATTTCTTTTTTGTTCATTTTGACCGAGCACTCCCTTAGTATTTAGGAATGACACTTGATCGATAACTCCTTACCGGTTGATCCCAGTTTTTTACTTTCATTTTTTTGGATTTTTGTTTATATGCAGCCCACTTATGCACGTGCAGTTTAATTTTGAAAACTCGCAGTTACTGAGCTCCGAAGTGCACGACAAAACCGCCCAGAACCCCTTTTTTACCACCTAAAACCTTTCAAGAGAGAATTTTCAGAGCAGCTCACGGGTTTTAATTTTAAGATTTTTTCTTCTAATAGAGTCCAATTTTTAATCTAGCAATGACATTTTTACAAATGTGACAGTGTTACACATCTATTTTTTGTGTAAAATATGATATAAACATAACCGCACCACTAAGAATTTTTCATCGAAGTAAAATTTTTATTCTATACTTGACAATATGAGTTAATAGATGCTTAGTTTGGTCTGTCTCCATATTGTTTATAGCCGAATTGAAGCGGATTTGTGCACAGTATCATGAGCGCGTCTACATTTGTGAGGGTCAGAAGTGGGATTTGGAGCGTGAAGTTCGGAAAAGGGACTTTGAGGTATTACTGATTATGGAAACGTTAATGATTTGTAATGAAACTAAAAGAAAAAGGGGTTTTTTGAGCAAATATACCACATTTTTTGCTCCCGTTACATCAAAACTAAAATTCCCTTTTTCTCTCTATTTTTCTCTCCTGAAAATAGTACGCGGAGAGAATGTGCGAGCCTATAGTAAAAGGAACCCTAAATACTTTTGAAAAACCGGAGACTGAATAATTCCTGATGAGCGCATGCACTAGCGTCTTACTCAAATTTACTGCGTACAAAAAATGCAGATCATTTACAATTTGCTTCATTCGCACCTCATTTAAATTCTCTCCGTGTCAACAAAAATGTAGAAATAATTTTGCACACGCAAAATCAAATCATTTCCTCCGAAAATAAATCACTAGCTACTTTTTCTCTTTGAGAATATATCACCATCGAATAGTATGCCTATATGGTTAATATTTTATTTATAAATAATTGTGTATTACTTTTAAAGTATTTTATACATACTATTTGATCAAAAAAACCGAAAATTTATAAAACTTATTTCTACCAAGTTCTTTGTATAAAAACAAACGAAATGAAAAAGTTTTTTAGTAGGGAAATGCTAATGAGCCAGTCCTCTATAATCTTGGTCAGTCCTGTTATTTATCAAGGATCATATTTTTTTTTCAATATTTTTAGATGTTTTTGTCTCTTGATAAAGCTCGCGATATTTTTTACCTGATAACATTTTCGTCGTCACGAAGTATATGAAGTGCCGTTACTTTTTTTCAATTTTGATACTCAAACTTTGCCTGTTTTTCTTTTTTTGTTTTGCTTTTTTTATATTTTATACTTTTCTTTTGTTTGTCATCTTTTTATCGTACTATTAAGCTGTTTTTTTTTCTATTTTCTATTATTATCTTAACGTTACATAACTTCTTTTACATTTATTAGTTTTGTTGGATTTTTTTTATTTATTATTTATTATTTATAACTATTTTTATTTACTGCAGCACGTTTTGTTCAGCTTTGTACTAACTTAATGATAAATCAATGACAAAGCCAAAAATCTTATCGAAACGCGATGACATTAATTTTTTGTATCAATTCAGGGCTGGGCAAGCTTATAGTCTTCATTTCGTGCTTCGTAGTAGTGGCGTTCATCTTGATTTGCTTTTTACAGAAGAAATACAGGTTATCGAATATTTATTTCGTGTACTAACTTAATCCACTATACAATTGAGATAGATTATAATTTGTAGTACAAATTTTTCTTTTTAAAACAAATTTTCGGTTATAAGGATCAACAGTATGATAGAATGTATCATGCGTGCAGACGGTGCAAAATCAGAAAATATAGAAATTATTTTATTCTGCGAATTGTGAGAAAATCGAAGTTATAGAAAAAATAAGATATGGCAATTGAAATTTAAAACTATTGCTTGCACGCGAATCGACTAACAACTGCATGGCTTATTTTTTTCAAATGCTTATTGGATCGAATGAGTACATCTTATATCGATATCTATGAATGAAAATAATATGATTTTCGACGTAATTATATAAAAAATTAAAATTAATGAACGAATCACTCTTCAAAATATAATTGAACGGAAAATGAATTATTTAATCGAATAGAAAGCCGGCTTAAGTCTAAAATACGGTAATTTGTTTTTGCATTTGCTTAAGCTGCGAAAACTGTGTTTGAGTATGGCACTTCATATATTCGTCGCTGGATGAAACTATGACTGCTCATCACATGACATTACGGAAAGTGTTTTGAAATGTTTCAATTTAAATTAAATAAAATAAGAATTTTAATTTGTCAACAGTACAATATATTACTGCACGTGAAAAATGCACTTAAGGCTCTCACAAAAATGGACGCATGTATTAGTCGCAAGATAATTTTTATGACAAATAATGCGATAAGAAGTGCCATGCTGTAAAATTCTCTACTATCCGGATTTTCCAGGCACGCCTGGCTCGCATTAAATAAAATACGAACTGAATACCTTAACTAACGTACCATTTGAATCTCTCTTATCTTAATTGTTTCCCGACTCGAAACTAATTTTATAAATGATTTGTATCTACACAATTATATAAGTCACTTAGGTAGTTACGGTAACTGAACTTTGAATTGTGCGATAGTGGTAAAGTTCGTTAACAATAGCAAAGCAAGCATAATTAATAAGTTTAAAAGAAACGACAAAGAGTAAGGAGAAAACATCGTAATCGATGACCAGATGCCTTAAAAATTCTAATCTATAAAATCGATTTTGCACCGATACGCACGTTACCGATTTTCCAAGTGTTTACAATTAACCGGCCAATCGTGGAAAAAGTAGTTGAATCCTTTCTAGATACTAGCGAGATTGCACAATAAGCCGATTATCAACGTTTTCTTTAATGAATACTACCGTAATTTCTTCTATTTTATTACAATGAGACTGCAACTCGCTACATCAAGGGGATTATGGCACATGTTTTCATTTTTATTAATCTAAATTTTATTTGATATTATTGTTGTCTTTATTTTTGTGAGTATTTAAGTACATTTGCCATTTTTGGAAAATTAAAAAGGTATCGAGATTTTTAATTGAAAAAAATGAAGGCATGTCCATAGTGATGTGCAATCCTGAGGAATTCAGAGCTGATCATGACCAGCTGGTTTGACTCTCGACTGACCATTGCCGGACCATCATTCACCACATTTTCCCCTCGACGTCGTTACCAGTGACGTTTCGATTTACCATTTGCCCCAGGGTGTGGAACTTTGCTGCGATTGATCTCTTTCTCCCCTCGTAAAAAATATATTAATGTTCTGCAGTATGGAATCGATCACTTCAAACGTCAGTGTAATAGTTAATCGTTGCTCTTTTTTCACGAAAGTACTATGTTTTCCAATACTTAGACTGGTTTTTGGAATCTTGTTTGGAACGTTATGAGCATTATTGATTCCATATTCACCCTGCATCTTCCAACGATTTTGCTAGCCTGTCATCAACCTGCGTACAGATATCTTTAAGGATAAGCTCTATTACTTACTGCCCTATCAGCTTAAACTTCTAATGCAATAAAGGCAACTTTATCGGAGTTGTCATCAATACATTATTCATCTTATATGCTTCTAACGTGTTGTTAGAATGAAAGAACATGTGAGAAGATTTTTTATGTTACCCTGTACCTATCTAGAAGAAATATGTTTCACATTTATTGCTATATGAAATAGTGTTCAAATATTAGATAACTCGAGTAGTTTCACCACGTTTATTAATCAATCAGGATTTGATTTTTATGTTTCAAATAATATCTAGTGATTAATGTAGACGGTATGAAAAAAATTAATCCGTATCTTAAATTTAGAAAGTTTTTTGTAAATTATATGGTTGATGTTGTACTTAGATCTACAGTTTTACTATTCAGTGTTTGTATAAAAACGAATACATTTCTATAAATCCATCCTTCTCGTCACTTTTCTCTTTCACAATTTACTACCTATCACTAAACCATCATTTTATCCCTATTTTCATTATTAAATCATTGTTGCTTATTTTCAATACTCGAAAGTAATATGTCGAACGCTTACTGAAAACTTAAAAGCAAGTAGAAGAATGCTTGTTGTGCTTTATTGAGTTTTTAATAATGAAAACAAGTTTGGTGTGATCAGTAACCATGTTTTATAATTAAATCTAACTTATATTTTCTTCGTATTGATGCCTCAAGATTCTGCATTAGGTAATAAATTATAAATTCTTCTATAATTTATTATTTTATTTGATTGTTAAAATAAAATTTGATAGTGTATTATGTTTTATGTGAAAATTAGAATAATTTTTCTTTCTTTTTATGATAAAAAAATATTTGATCCTCAATTATTCGAATTATTTTTTTTTTTTTTTTTGCTTAGTAGTTTGCTTTGCTAGCGAAAAGTTGAAGATAAGATACTGTAGCTAATATATTTTTTATTTATACAGATTGCGGATTTGAACAGTCAGGTCAATGATCTTCGAGGCAAATTGTAAGTGTGAAATACAATAACGATAAGTATATAATTTCATTAATAATAAAACTCATCATGAAACCGTCCAGCAAATAAACTAATTTAGTCATAGCAAATGCTGACATTAGAATAATATAACCGAATTAGAGTCATTTAGATGAGCATAATGATTTATGGATGAATAATCTTAAATTTTTAACTAAGACTTGATAAAAAGTCGTATTTTAAGATTTGTGCGCCAACTTTTTGCCTTAATTAACAGAGAACCATCCCTTCTTCTTAAAAAGCTAAGAAAACGTTGGGCGCTTGGGATAATTGCTAATGGTTTTTCTTTTTTCTTTATTTCTTTGCACTTCGTACAGCATGAAGCCAACCCTGAAGAAGGTCTCAAAGTATGAAAACAAGTTCGCCAAGCTGCAGAAGAAGGCGGCCGAGTTCAACTTCCGTAACCAACTGAAGCAGGTCAAGAAGAAGGAATTCACCCTAGAGGAAGAAGACAAGGAGGTAAGACTAAATCTATTGACATGCTTTCAAATATCTTCACGGCGGTTGACAATTGTATACGAAACTCCCGTAACTATTTATTTTCAATACATCTTTTTTCCAACGTTTGTTTTTTTTTTACGTTCGACTGAAGGTTTTGGCTAAATTTATAACGAAATTTTTGGAAATTTAAGCTCCCTCTAAAATATTATTGAAATATAATATTTACTTTAATAATTATCTCATAAACTAATATTTTTGCTATGATATAATTTTAATTCTATGGACTTTATTTATTATAAAAAATTATAAGAGAAATTATTTTATAGAATATGTTAGTTACAGTATTACTTTATATAACAAATAATAATACCTGCTCCTATTGGCACATTTGATAGATCAAATAATTGATGTATTAATGTCTCGTAACTAAAACATTTGTTTTGGAAGGTTATTTTACAATAAATGATCTTGGTTAACGCGCTGAGGTTCCACCAAATATCAGCCTAGCTTAAGGAGCTAAACATATCCTTAAATTTATTAAGATTAATTATATTCTTAATTCGCTGGTTCCTTAAAAGGGCTGAATATAAATTAAAACAAATAGTAATAGTTTTAGTTGACTAGGCTATGTGTTATTCTTCACAGCCCAAGAAGTCCGAGAAGGCAGAATGGCAGACGAAGAAGTAGAATATCAATAAACAACTTCAGAAAAACATACTAAAATAATTACGTTAAAACCGCCAAAAATAGACTAAATAAAGATCAAGTCGGATGAAAAAATTAAAATCATTAATAAAACGTACATTCACACACACGTAATTATAAATGTATTTTTCACGTCAAACCATACTTTTGTTACTTTTTTCCACCGACACCGTGCATAAGCCAATGATTTCATTTAAAACATCGATACGAAAATAAACATAATGAAACAATTGGAATCGACAAAACTGTTCATATTATATCTATTTTTGCTGTATTTTTTTCTTATAAGATTTTTTGGATTTTTAATTTAATAATAAAAGTTGTGCGTCGGCTTATAAGCTTTAAGAGATAAGAAACTCAATAAACGTTGATTTAATGCAATTGGATTTATCTTTTCAACGCTGATTACTTAATTTTTTCTTCAATTGCTTTTTTTGGCGAATCGAATCTAAATAACGATAAAAAAGTTATTTATGTTTGAAAAAAGTATATTTTGTATTTTTGAGAAAACATTTCCGTAATCGGATTTTCTGTCTTCGTTACTATGCCAGTCTGCCAGGATTTTTGATTTTTGAAACCTTTTTGACAAATATTTTTGTGTCCATAATGTGTTGTCCACTTAAAATATACCGTTTTTTTGTAGACTTGTAACAGTCTTCCTACCTACATGTTTTTTATTTATGATACTAAAATTTAGTTTGAACGTTTTTATTTAGAAATAGAATAGAATCTTCAGTTTCGTGGTGACTTTTTTTTAAATGTTGTGATTTTTTGTTAAATGATAAGTTACAATTTTTTATTCTACGAATAATTTAAATTCTATTGTAACTAATAAATTTTTATTATATTTTCTATAACGTAATATCTTAAGCTCTACGTAACTATCTTTCAATACTTTTGAAATATAGCATAATCTTCGTTTAACTTTCTATTAATATAAACAACTATACTTTTCTCTACTAATATCAAAAAAGAATTGTTCTGAAACAGAAATCGTTGTTAAAGGTGAGATTTACTTTGCAGTGTATTTTACTTCTGTTCGCGTTCCGTGTTTCACAATAATTGCAAAAGCGCTTTGCATACTCACCTCGTTTATGCAGTTTTAATAACTTGTTTTAATCTTTTCATTTATAATATTAATTTAAGATTTTCTTTTAGCTTTCGTAACGTCTTATTTCAAGATTTTCCGATATTTTCGTTCAAGAACTTGAATAATTAAACGCGAAAGCACACATTTATTTATAAAAAGAATCAATAATAAATACAATTTAATATCATTAAAATGTATTATTAAATATATTTATAATGAATCGGCTGCCAAGCTCCCTAATTATATTTGTTCATTTTTCCTTTACGTTTCAGACGAATACATTAGAAAAATGTTGGCTAAGTTTCACTTGTTTCAAAATGTATCAATAATAGATAACAACCGTTAATCATGTTAAGGAAACAATAATCAATATGTTCATATTTTAGACTTATTAATAATTTTAATGTATAATACTACCATTTGAAAAATGTATTCGTTTGATATTATTTTCCAAACTGATAAGTGTTAAACTGCAATATACTTTATAATGAAAACATGATAGCTGACAAAATGTATGTGTTCTTGTTTTATGTTGATTAACGTTGCTTAATGTTTGCAGAATGCTTCGAAAGATAAGGTAAAAATTCAAAGCAAAAACGTAATTAGATCAGAAATTTTTCAGCTAGCGCAGTCAGATGAATAGGCGCGACTATTAGCTTTCGTGCAGCTTTGTTGCTTGATGTTTTAGCTCAGTTACTTTTATAATACGATTTTATAACTAGAATGATTTGCTACCATAATCATAATTAAATGCTTATTTATTTTTATAGCTTGCATAAACAATTTCGCAATGGTGTTGCATAATTTAAAAAAAAGTAAATGCAGCATGATGGAGATTAGAAGATATTCAATTGTTATAAAACTGCTGAAAACTTTTTTTTTATTTCAAATGCAATCTAGCGAGTGCTGAATTAGCTAATGTTATTTAGTTTAATTATCGTTTCAAATTAAAAATTGCAGTACTTAAGCATAGAGTTTTTTTTACTTAGAACGCATCTTGATGAAACTCAAAACGCAAAAACAAATATTGCATTTGACTATCATCATTACTTGAGACTAATACTCGATTATTTGTACTTGCAGAAGAAACCTGAATGGTCGAAGAAGGGTGAAGAGAAAAAGGTAAAGGAAGAGGAAGTGGCAGAACACGTTTCGTAAAAATTACATCACACGCATAATAAATACACACTATATCCTTATCCATACACACCACGTTTTTTGTGTTTTTGTCCCCTGATATTTTTTACTTTTTCTGTTATTTCCTATGATCTTTTACAGTTCGACCAATTTCTTCTCACTGTGACCTTTTTGTAAATGCTAAAACACTCTTGATATTTTTAAGATGTTCAAACCAAAGCGACTGCTATCTAAGTCAATAATTTATGTAAAAACTGCGCGATAATAATGACATGTCGATTTTTGGTTGAATCCCTGCTCGTGGTTGTATACCTATGCGTGAAAATATTTAATACTTAATAATGTAATTATAAAGAAAAAAATTTATTCTTATTGAACAATAATTTGATTAAATGTTTTATTACTGTGTTTTTATTATTATGATCCTTTATCCTCTGCCAATATTGTTACCTATACAATCTATTAATATTCAAACAGGTATGCTAATAAAAAAAAAAGTATCTTATTGATTAACAATATTTTGAAAACCTGCTAAAAGTTTGACAATACCTCAGAAACCTTAAATTTTTATGATTTATGATACCTAATCACTGAATACAGGTAAAGTATTTTATCAGTATTGATTACATGATGTGAAAAATAATGAACAAATAAGATACTCACTCGTAGAACTTAAAATGCAAAAAAATTAAAATACCATTAAAATAAAGGTAAAAGAAATATACATGAAGAATGAATAATGGTCAATGAATGAATTAGCTAAAATATTCACTGAAATGTTGTTCAGAATTTTAAATTATTTACCAAAAGAAAATTAAATTAAAATGGAATAGAAATACTATCAATATTAGACCTGATCATTAGAATAATTCAGATAACACTTTTTTTGAACTGGGGAAAGGGTATTAAGAATCTATATGATGTTGGTAAAAATTGTATTTATATAATCAATAATATAATATTGACTTGAAAATTCAGACAAAATAAAAAAAAATCAGTTTACAGTTCCGATTTTAGTCGTTTAGTTATATCATTCTGCATAAAATCGAAATCATTTTTTTTCAGTTTACACGCTATTGCATGTATAGAGAGACTGTTGAAACCATTAATGAAATTCGGTGTGTAATAGTAGAATACAGCCGATTTCATTTTGTAGTTGCATTTAAATCTAAACTTAAATTAGGCTAAAAATACTTATTTAAATGAACGGAAGTTCTGATACTGATATCAAGTCTGAACATAAATCTAGTATAAATATTGTTTAATATAAAACTAAGAAATGTGGTATTTCATAATTCTGATACATATACTGTTAATCAAAAAAAGTTTATAGAAATGTATAGAACTGTAGGGACATAGAAAAGTGCAGGACAAAATTAGGATACTAGCATTGTCTTTAATTTGATTATTATTGAAAGCACCTTATTAGCTATTAACTTTATTTCTATTTGCTAGGTACAACAACCGTTGAAATCCATTTTATTATATTTTTTAGTAAATGGAACAATTTTTAAGGTATTTTGCAGATAATAGCAGATGGTTTAACTGTTGAGGTTCAAAAAATGACCTTAAATACATAGCTTGTGTTTAATATGTTTGTGCATAATGAATTACGTTCTATTAAAAACAAAATGGGAATGTATACAACGTGCGATTTATGTACCAAAGTTAAGCACGTATGTTTATATTTACATATATTAAATACACTGATATCGTCAACGGCAAATTCTTGAGGTTCGTGTAATTAACACCATTAAAAATACAATTTTGAACAAGGATTCAAAATCATTACAGGTTTATACAATAACAATGATTATCCTCAACTATCGAGCTTGTCTGACTATAATTGTTCGTATTTAAGTTCGAGATCAAGGTTTCTTTGACAGATATTTAATTATATCATTTATATATCGAATTCTTCTAATGAAATGTACTACTGGCATGCATGTTGGGTATTAATCATTTGTTTTGATCAAAGACGGTCTTAAAACAGTACAAAATACTCATAAGATTAATTAAATATTTATTGAATGATAAGATTATGTCAATCAAATAATTCAAATTATAATGTTCGCATTGTTTTTTATAGAAAAACAAATTTTTACTTAGCTTAGCCGATCAGTTTCTAATGTTTATTCTTTACTATGAATAAAAAATCACAATCTTCAAGAAATTATAAGCTTCTATCTAATTTATATTCACGTTATATTGATGTATTGAATTTAGCATAGTTCAAATTACCTACCGATAAATTTCCCGAAAACAATATTAAAAGAAAATATCAAAATTAGAAAAAAATAAAACGAAAAATGCCAAATCTGACATATCTAAAGGGACTAACGAAAAAATCGAATTTCGGAATTATATATTAATTTAATCAAATGAAAAAAGAAAAATTCTTTTACCGTAATAACAAATGGATACAGAAATCATACTGTTAAATATAATCGCGTACAAATCTATTGTTCAGGTAAATATTCATACTTCATAGTATAGTAAATCAAAGTTTAATTTATCGATTTATTCATGTCTGATGTATAGTATTTTATTGCAAACATGTTTGTTATTTTAAATCAAATTTAGAACACAATATATCTGCTAACTAGGAACCCGCAAGTGAAACTACGTCAGAAGCTACGTCAACAGAGCCGACACCATCGCCCGTTCCTGAAACACCAGAGCCACCTCCTCCTGCTGAACCTGAACCAGGTATTTATTTATACACAAGAAATTTTGTATCAATATAATGAAATACAAATAACACAAAATATTCAACATTGTTCAATTTGTATGAATTACATTCAAAAAGTTATTATTAATCTAAATTGAATTAATTCTAATGTACATGTACCTTATATCGCCAATCTATGGGCAAATAGTTAAAACCTTCAATCTTTTCAATCCAACTTGCCTAAATTTTTAATTTTATTAGTTGGACAGTTTTGACTTACATGATTTCTAAATTAACTCTTTGACTACGGTACGCTGTCGGCCGAATCCATCTAGATATAGACGACGTATTTTTCACTAGTCAATCGCTGCGATTAGTGAACACTGACAATAACCAAAAGAGTACCTGAAAATTTGATGCCATTCTTAGGGTTTTAAAAATAATGGCAAAAAAATTAAAAATAGAGGGCGTATATATACGTCTTCAGCAGTCAAACGGTTAATGGAAAAGTAGTATTATGTAGAAAGCTATATTTGTTAAGTATAGAATTAAATTTCATAGTAAACAAAAATGTATAAAATCGCATTAAAATATTATCAATTTACTACTTGAAGTTAGCATTTACAAAATACCTTCAAATCAGTGAAGATTATACAGGTCAACAAATTTTCTGTTTCTTTCAGACCCATAAAAGAAAATATACGTTCCCAAAAGTTTTTAGTGCGTTGAATTTGAATCTGGTATCAAAATTGCTCCATCGCGTCAAGATTTCGCGACATTCTAGACAAAAGTACAAAAACATTGTTCTTCTCTATTCTTGGGCTTGAATAACTTCGCGAGTTTTGATTTTATTCAAAATCCAGACAAACCGTTAGAAAGAGCAACTTTTAAACTTTCGGTTTCTCTACTTTAAATTGTTATTTAAATTTTTTACTTCGAAATATCGTTGATTAAAATATAGAAACTTCAAATTTTTCCAATAGCTATATTATATGGAAGAACAATTACAGCATTTAATGTTTCGGTTATTATTAAAATTAATTTATCGTGAATAAAGGATGATTTATAAAAGTAATGATTTACAAGTAGAACTTACCTGCTTCACATCCAAGTAGGCTAAAAGCTATAACCTCAAACTCACCAGTAATTCACCATAGATAGGGCTGACAATTTAGAGTAATGAAATTAAAATTTCAAAAGTTGCTTTTCTGATGGTTTTTCCGGATTTTGAATAAAATCAAAACTCTTTAAATTATTCGATCCCAAAAACAGAGAAAAGTAGTATTTTCTGGAGATTTAAGTTAGAATATCTCAGAATTCTGACGTAATGGAGTAATTAGCACGCCGGATTTGGATTAACCGCACCGAAAAATTTCGAGAAGGCATAAGCTAGTTTTTGGTTATAAAATTTGTTAACCTGTGTTATTATTCATACAAAATAATACAAAAGTTATTACAGCTCCGATTTTTAACATGTTACTTATTGACAGAACCTGAACCGGAACCTGAGCCAGAACCAATACCAGAGCCACCTAAAGGTAGATTCGATTTGACGTCAGCTTATATTATGTATAACTAACATAACATTTTTTTACTTTTCCAAGATTTTACTTATGTAATCGTTTCTGTTTTAAATCATCGTTGTTCTACATACTTTTTTTATTTTACAAGGTAATAATTTATTGAACACGCATTTTGTATAAATGAATACTGAAAACCTTTCCGTTATTCAATTAATATAAGCAATATCTGATGAGTGATTTTATTTGTTTAACTTCTGCGTTTGCAATTTTTCGTGTTGGTTGCAATCATAGTCAATTTACAGAAAACTGTTAACTTCAAAAAATATATGAATCTGGCTTATCAATAATATTAATGTTACCAAAAATATTTTTATTTAATTTGTTGTCAATGTTTTATAAAATCAATAACAACATGTAATTATGATTATTAAAAATAATACGTTTGTATGATCAAACGAATTTACCTAAAATCGAACACTTAGGTGTTTCATTGAAGTTTGATCGCAATTATATGAGTAGCTCCATTCAAATAGATTACTAAGTAGTAACGTAATCCTATTTAGTGATCTAGAGAATGAAGTAACAAAATGTAATAAAAATAAACATAAAATCTTTATCTTACTAATTATAACTAATTGTTGAGAAACTGAATAAATGTATATTATTTGTATGTTATAACACATCCTTATTGTATTTAACATGATGTATAATCATTTTTAAATATCATTATTTGTATTATTTTGGCTAATATGTTAAGTCTTGTGGAATAAATTAGATATGAAATCAAATTTAAGTCTATATTTTTTATATAATTCATTTATATTGTTAATTTTACTTATCGAATAATATTTGTATTATATTAGTAGAATAATAATTATGTATTGATGAATATTTCTTCAGTATACTATTATTATTCAATTATCAAGTTTTTATTTCATTAAACAATTGCATTGAAAGAAATAAAGTACTAGATTCAACAAATGTATTCCTCAGTCTAAATAAATATAAATAATAAACTTTTGAATATTGAGTATCTGACAAAAAGGATAGAAAAATACATGGTTCATCAACCTTGTCGGGAAGGCCATCTGCGAAAAAATTCAAGTCTCTTAATTTATGATAGTCTAACCCTACCACTTCCTCTTGCTAATTACATCACTGTTACGTCACCGCCGCGTCTGCGTAACTCAATTGTCTGTACTACGTGCAGTTGTGTGCACTCTTGCGCGGGGTGTCCATTGGGCAGGGTGCAACTTGGAGTCTTACTGTACTCAAATTTCGTGTTTCATTCTTGTGACTTTACTGGTATAATAGCCAATTTTCCAAAATGACTATAACACTACCACCACTTGAAAAAGATAACCGTAAGTGTATAAGTAAATGTTTATTAACTTTCAACATGTGTGAGTTGTTGTAACATCTATACGACTCGAATTTGAAATTCTGAATTTCATTTGATAACAAATTTGCAAGATTTGTTTATCAAATAACAAAAATATGTTTGTTGCTTCAAATTTATCTTTTGAACTAAAATGAAAAATGTTCATTTAATTTACGAAAAAAGTTCATTGTTGTTTCCATTTCATTTCCAGTTTTATTTCAATTATAAGTATTTTATTATTAGTATTATATTAAAAGCATTTTATTTATTAAAAATCATTATTTACATTTAAAATGAAAAATGTTAAAACGTGAACTCACATTTTTTTAACTTTTATGAAATCATTTTCTTAGACTAGTTAACTTAGCTGTGTTTCATGTACAATCACAATGTTTATATTTCGCAGAGCCGCCACCACCAAATCCATTGAATGTTCTCAATCTACTTCTATCAAAACTAAAGGCAATGGAACAGTCAACAGAATCTACTGGAGAAGTGACAGATGTAGATGTAGAATTGTGTAACAAGATCTTCTACATTCTGAATCCAGGTACGTATAATTCTTTCTTGATTCAATCTACTTATAGAACAAGCTTAAATGAATATCAGATACATCATCATTGAAAAGTTTAACCATCAATCATATTGAAAAAGCTCTTGATTGACACTTTTTAGTTATTGTTTCGATTGTAAAATCGATGTTACAACTAACCTTTTTATTTCGATTCTTTATAAAAGTTTTTCTATTTTTATATCGGTTCGAAGTTTTATCTTTTTTCTTCTTCCTGCATTCTTCGAGGGTCACTGTGGCAATAAGCATTGCTAGCGTTTGTAAGAGTACTACCGGGGCTATTTTTAAGGTCTCGAATGCACGCTCTTTTTGTTTTTATAAGTGCTTTGATAGCATTGCATCAGAAGTTGGCAAGGGTAATCTCAGTGTGCAACGATGCTCGAATAAATTTTATAACGTAGACAAATAAATTACAGAAGAAATATAGGCTTTCCTTTCGAATACATTTAAATTAAATTTCTAATTTCCAACAAAAATTATTCATTATTTCAGTAAATATTATTAGAAGAGAGCTTATGAAGTTGAAATTCATATAGCTTTTTATTTAAATGTCTTGACTGCAGATATCGTAAAGAAAAGTTGTATATGTAGTACATTGTCATTGAAGTTCGTTAAAATGTTATTGAAATAATTTAATAAATAATTAACACTACATCCTTATTAGCAATATTCAAAAGTAAAGTAAAAAACACAATAGGAAAGATTAAATTTTGTTATACGTTCAATTTCATGACCACCAACAGTGAAAAAAAGTGTAATGTTAGTAAATAAAAGCGTCATTTTGATTATTATAGCTGCAGCGCCACCGGAAGAAGCACCTCCAGCGGGAGGTGAAGCACCCGCGCCGGCTGAAGGTGAAACCATTCCGCCGGCTGAGGGAGGCGAAGCTCCACCGGCAGAAGGAGCCGCTCCGACTGAAGGTGGTGAGGCTGCACCACCCGCGGACACCCCGGCGGCGGAAGCCGCGCCACCAGCTGATGCACCAGCTGAGGCACCGGCTGAAGCACCAGCTCCTGTTGAAGGTCTTTTTCAATAACTGATTTGCTTTATTTTGTTTTTACTTCTTCGATCGAAACTACCAGAAGAGATCGTGTTTTTTCTAAGCAACTCGTATAGTTTTATGGTATGAATATTGTATACAAACTAAACAATTGAGTTCCTCCTTTACAATTTTTGTCAATATATTTTATTATACGTTTATTTATGGGTAAATGATGCGACGCATTTTTGCGATTGATTTACGTTACCATTTTTACGATGAAATAAGTTACTTAAAAAATTGCATACTAGATCTTTGCAGGGTAAAATTAATATAATTATGTAAGAAGTCTACAAATATTGAAAATTATTATAAAACAAATATATAAATTTCAAACATTTTAAATTTCTAATAGAATTTTTTATGTTCACAGCTGCTGCGTAATTCTTCAAACGCGATCAATCGGCAGCCCTTTCTGTACACATTTTTCTCATCAGCGACGTTACTAAATCTCAAATCTCCATAAATTCATCCATATTCACGAATGTATGACGATAAAGTTGAATGACAGAGAGAGGTGATTTACCAGGTTCGGTGAAAAAATTATATCATAAATTCACTTTTAGAAAGATAAAGAATATTGTTTACTGAATTTTTCAAAAAGTTTTCAAACAGTAAATATTCACGAGTCAATTATAATTTTCACACGCGTGATATTCTTATTGTTATTGCAAACGTACATATACAGAAAAAAAGCAATCTTTCTAAAGGAATCGACAAATAGACGTTTGTATACATAGACAACTTCTCTCATACGAACTTGGTTCCTCTATACTAGAAATATTGATTCAGCGAAAAGAAAGTTTGGAGTTTCAGCAACTTAAATAAAGGTCGTAAAGTTTTTCCTACAAAACTTAATCGATGTTTTCCTGCGTTTTTATTTTTAGTTTAGTGTCCATTAAATCTATAATAAACGCGGTTATATTGGTCATATAGAAAACGTCATTCAAATAGTGCAATACATTTTTATCGAGCATTTATTGGAGTATAAAATATCGGATATTAATCTGATATTGCAATTATTTATAAAAGAGATAAATCACAATAATCAGATAAATTAAAGTAAATAAATTATTTTAAAAAGATGATTTGTTTGTTCAGACAATTCTAGTTCATAAAATAATATTGTGACCAATGATCTAACTGAAGTCGTTGTATCTCTCAAGCTCAACGAAAAGGCAAACGTTTTCGATTACTTGTTATTGTCTACTATTGTTGTGAGAATTTACTTATTGTATTTTATTTTCTTTTAAGTAGTACTAAGTGATTTTGCTAATAATCTACATGTAATCTAAATAAAAACAACTATGTTTGAGTGCGATCAATACAAGACATGTTATAGTTTGACGATTGATAAATAGAAATTTAAACATTTTAAAATATTAGTTTTTTTTAATTACACAATTTTAATAATTCTTCATTGCAATAATCAATATTATTTACACCAAATGTATTGCTGCACTAAAGCTTAATTAATTTTGATTACAATAAGTCAAATTACACTTCTTCGATAATTACTTGAATGGCAATTCGTGAATAATCTTAATATTTGTCATTAAATCAGCAGTGTAAATCAAAAGAATTTTCGAAAAATCAGTGATATGAAGGAGCTACTCGATGTTATTAATGTACAGTCATTTTGGAAGCATTTGTATATACTGATATGTCAGATATGCAAATGTTGCACATGTGCATCGAGAGTTCAAAAAGTAAAGAAAACGACAAGTATAACAGGTGTACAGGAGATGTCCTCCGGGTAACAAGGAGTCTCATGTATGTTGAGCTGCTGCTGTATGCAACTGCTTACACGATCTTACAGTTATTATTGAGACGTTAATATTTATAATACAAATAAATGGTTCTTGTAAAGAGTAAAACATGAAAAACGTTTTATATATACTTTTTATTGCTTGTGTCTTATGAATGACTTAAAAATTAAATTTGAAAAATCGCGTTGTAAATATATTTGAATAAATGAAAAAACTTTTAAGTACGTTCATATTTTAGATTACCGATGATATAGTTTAAGAACCCAAGCCACATAACAATGACATTGTGTGTATTGAATTCATATATAAATTTAATCGGCGAATGTGATTAGAGAAAGACAAGTTTCATGTCATTTGATATACGACCTTTCGCTGTTTTATTTTGACACGCGGAGCCTACTAGATATTTTTGAATATTCGTTTGCATTGCTTCTGTTTTAGTATAATTCAGATCGAACAAAATTCAGTGATTCATTGCATCAATGGATATATATATATATATATATATATATATATCACTACATGATTCAGTTATAACAAGCCGTAAAAAAAAGCTGAAGAATCACTTACTGAGGATTTACACTACGCAAAATCTATAAGAACAGTAAAATAAAGTTATCCAACCCAGTGGAAAAAGAGCAACAGGAGTGGATAGAATGAGAGTCAAGCCAGGATAGATGACGCGCGGACTGGATACTCTTCCATCAAAAGCGCGAACTCGTCTTTATTCCGGATATGCCATTGAGCCGTACACGTGCGATCAGCGGTGATGCGCGCACGTGTCCGTAAGGAGACGTTCGTTCCACCGATAGAAAACGCACGGCGAGGCATTGTTCCAAAATTACTACTGAATGGCCGTGCACAATGTCGCCGAGAGCGCGTCGAATCTCGCTGCTATATTTCTCTCTTTTTGTCACTCTCGCACGAACCATTGCTTTCTCTCGCTTGCTATCCGCATTCGTCATTGCCCCCCCCCCCTCCTTCTTTCGCTCTTTCTCTTTCTCTTCATCCTGCAACATCCCTTATTTCTTATTCTCTATCTATATCTTCCTCTTTTCATCTTTCACGCTGTGTCATTTTCGTTTGTACTCGGTTCGTTATATCTCTGCGGCGGCTTCTTACTCTATCATTATTTGATCGTGAGAGTGCCGCGTCTACTCTGGCGTTGATATTATCGGTATACTTTGAACTCTTATATGCTATCTTTTTAAAGTTAATTGACGATTATAATATAGGTACTGATACCTTTTATAGCTTTGACGTTTGTGAAATGATTGGTTGCATAGTCGCAAGGGTATTATTAAACGAGTCAACTTTGAAAACCGCTCGACGCTAGCGCAGTATTTTCCTTTCGAACGGCAAGCCTATTCCACTGATAAAATTTTCTCCAATGAAATGGAATATCTTGCAAATCTTTTTTCTTCGGCACAAAGCGATCAAACGTTTATTCAACGTATCTCGATTTATTTGTTTAATTGGCACACTGAAATTCCTATTGAGTGTCGTTGAAAAATTACCACGCAACTCGATAGTGACCTATGCGGGGAGACGCTCTGTCTCTGTCTCTCTCTCTCCTTGCTTGCTTACGCCGCATATCGTTCATTGAGAAAGATGTGATCTGGCTACGGCAGCAGCTTTTCCTTCCTTAGAGTATAGTATGACTGTAGAAGCTTCGAATTGCCGTACAACGTTTACCGTTCAGTCGTGTGCTCCACGATATATACGCCGCGCGTACAGCTGATGCTTCTCTCTCTCTCTCTCTCTCTCTCTCACGTACACATACACGCACACGAACGAGTCGCAGCAATAGCATGCGCGCTTTCTGAATAATACCTATGTAGCAGCAGTACGCGACCCGCCTATGTAATAATGCTCCACTATTACTGTTATTTTTATTGTTTTCTTTTCTTATCTACGTTTGTTCTCGCTTTTCCCTTCTCATCCGTTCTTCTATTAATTTTACTTTTTTAACATTTTTCCTTACTTGTTTTATGTGTGTCTGCGTACGCGCGCGCGGTTCATCACTATAAGGCATTATTCAGCTTTCTTTTCTTTAGAAAAAAAGAACCGTATTTAATTTTCAAAGGGTAACTGTAGATATGTGTTATCAAAATGTGTGAGTGTATATGATAGGCAGTACAAGGCAGGGTAGTTTTCTGTTCAAATCATGAAAGAGCATATATGCTTTTTGTCGACAACTGTTTAGCAGATTATAGATTGATACTGGACTCTGCGAAAAGTCATGAAAAGGAACGTCAGAGCCGTGAGTGGACTCTTATATGTGACAAGAGCAGTTAGCCTCAGTTTACTGACAGCATCTGCATAGTGCATTTATATGCATATTTTTTGTTTGCTTCAAAATTTGTAACTTCAATATATGACATTTCAAAGTACTTTCTAAATTATTCTGTCATCACACACATCTGACATATCAACCGTCCCGCGCGAGCGCGCGAACGCTCATGGATGAAGATATAGGTGCAAGTTATTTTATCGACCAGAAGGGACGGGTAATTATTATTTATAAAAAGTGAAAAATGTTTCTAAGTTTAGGTGCCAAAGCCAATCCTCTGTAGATTCGTTTCGTTAACTAATCGGAGTCGTGGGTGCTCAGGCTTAATCGAGCCGCTCAGCAAGAGAGAGAAGCTTAAAGGGTCGCGGGTATGCAAAAATGGAATTGGTCCCGTTGGGCGCAAGCAAGGCTTAGCTTTCGACGGTCAAACCAAGATAACGCGACCTACCTCAAAGGGCGAGCGCGTCGTCCAGCAGAGAACCTCGTGCGTTTAGAACGGAAAGGAGGGAGGGGAATTGGCGTACGCGGCGGCGCAGCGGTGAGTTGCGCGCAGCCGGCGGCCAGTTTTCTACCTTGGGCTTCAGTCTCGTGCCGGCTCTCGTGGGGGACGCTTCGTTCGTCGACGTCGTGCACGCTTCGTCAACATTGCCGACCGTTCTCGCTCTGCCTGGTGCTCGTCGCTTGTAATTGTATTGTGTGATTTTCTCGCGTACTCAGTGCCGTTCTCGAGGATTCGTAATCATGCGACAAGGTGTCAGTTGAAAAAAAAGAGTCGTACGGACGAGGTTAAGGTCGCCGTCGATAGCCGTAAACAGAGCAGGCTTTTCGGGCGATTTTTCAGCGCGGAAGGTTGGTATTTTCTATTCTTTGTTGCGGTATTTTCTGCATCTGGTGCGTGTGTTGTGTCGCACCGTGTCGCCGGTCATACCGGTTCTCACATCCGACGTGCACACGCGCAGCCAAGCCGCATCGACAACTTTGTTTATACTGTTCTATATCACGCACCGCTGTCTAACGCTATTCGCTATAATTGTTTATTCCGGCGACTGAATTTGAGTAGCACCGGTATTTATACCGTTGATTGAACTTTTGGAAATTGATGTGTCAACTTTGCATACTTTTTCTACGCATAGCAGCGAGAGAAACGAGTTTACTTTTTCTGACGCTCTTAGAATACGTTGTTCTCGAGAATAAAGTTTTAGTTTTGAGAACATCACAGGTGTCATCGTTACCAAAGTGCCGATAAAAAATTATTTGATCGTTCCATCAATCGCCATTAGTTTTAATGTACCACAAAAGTATATAAAATTTACTACCACACTGTGCATGGAAATTGCAGCTAATGACTCAATCACGCGTTTTACGAACAGTTTTATGAGAATGGGATTTCGTCGTCGTGGCAAAACATCGCTACGATGATTGATAATATTTATGAGGAGTAAAAGCATCCGGAAATAAGAGAAATACATCCCAGCAATTCGTAATGTATCTTCTAGCTATAAAGTTTTATGACAAAGCCATCGCTAAGAGTTTTATGGCCATTCGGGGTAGCAGGTTAACAGTAGATAAGCGTTTCTGATGGTCACTGTTCGCTAAAAAAATTTAATTCTTGGCTAGTCAATGCATCGATAAGAAATCAACAACCGTTGAAAAAACAACTGATGTTTACGGACACTTGGCATCGCAGATATATGGTTTACCAAGTGGTTCGTTTATTTTACTTAAGAGTAAAAAAATTCGTTACAGAGAATTGCAGAATCTCTGTGTCCCACTGCAAGATGAATATAAATCATTTGTGCAAATTACATTTGCGTAACGGTCTATAAATAATGCACATCTTCATCGGCACTATTCGCAACACTGAACCAATGTTCTGATAATATAGCTTTAATCAGTGATGAATGAAGCTACACGTTCCTCATAACACCAATTTTCTGCATAATTAACTATGTAATAATTGATCGATTCAGCATAATAAATAATTCTTGTCTCTGACATCTGAATAACTTGCTTAACTATTGAAATTTATAGAACGATGTTATATTTTCAGGAATTTGAAATTCGTGGAGATTCCTGTACATAGATTATCCTTTCCAATTTCGAAGAAAATCCAATATTTATCCAATATTTAACAATTAACAATATTTAAACATTAAAAGCGAGAAACTTTCGGTATAAGTTGAGACTGAATAGAAGCTTGTACTTTGACGAAAAGAAAAAGAGCAGTATTTCGTAGTAGAAATGCAAATTTCTATGAAAAAGTAAGATGAGCCCGCGATATAGCTCTTTAAGTCGAGGAAAGGAATTTACAGGTCAAGGAACGATATCGATGAGAGGAGTGGTTTGGAAGTAGTAGACGTTGAAAAGTAAACAGAGAAAGCGAAATGTCGAAAGGTAAATATGTAGTTTATGCATCAAAGTGCAGCAGCGTATCTGTTTATAGCATCGATTCATCATTTGTCAGTGATTAATTTAATAGCCGTTAATTAATTGCTATGAACGTTTAGTAACAATATCTATATTGTAATTTTGAAGCAAGTAATATTGTGCGGTAACAGGCCGATCAATCGCCGAGTATTAATGCCGGCAAATCTACATGTCTATTTTCGTGATTTCGAGCTATCATCTGTTTTTGAAATTTATTTGAACATGACTATCAATGCTTCCGATCTATCAAAAGTAATATATAAGGGTATTACATTTGTTATTTGAAATTGAAAGTCAGGTAATTTGAAACGATAAAATAACTTAAAACGATAAACTTAGCCAGTAATACACGGCGTTTATTCAGATGCATTTACCGTCGACATAACATTCTCTTGAAGTAAGTGGCGTAGCGATGAAAACAGAACCCTAAAAATAATTCCAAATCAACGCAACCATGAACGATAACACGCGTAGATGATGAAAACGTTGTTTAACGATAGTTAATAAATTTTTGCGTTGGAAGCAAACGCACAACGCTAAAAAATGCTCTAAACATTGATAAGACTGGTCTTTGTAGTTGAGTCGTTCATGCGATATGTCTGACGGATGAAATGCCGAGAGGGCCTCGCGCAGAGAGCGACCGCGATAGAGGGAAAGCAAACGAAAAATTCAAAAGATGTACCCTCGGCGATGTTATCGTCAGTTTGAGAATGAAAGCACTTAGAGGCGGAAACGAGAAATATAGAGATTCGGAAAGCAAGCGCGCAAGCTCGAAAGTGGATGCAGCGCGAGCGCCGTACGCGAATAGACGGGCGGAGAAAAAAAAGGGTGACGCGCGCTTTTCAACGGCAGAGGCTGAAAAACTATACGCGCGCTCGAGGGAGAGACTGCGACGTCGCGTGCGCGGTGTGCATCCCTTGTAGCGCAGCGACGCCTCGACCAGAAGTTTTTCTTGAATTTTTCCATCGCTGCGACTGTGCTACTCGACTCGAGATCGCGACGAAGCGATCGAGCAATCGAAAGCAACGATTATCACGGGCTTTCCTCGGCTCCTTGGCAAACTCGCAGTTTTTACACGGGATTTTGAGAGGTACTCTAGGAGCTCCCCTCTTCCTGCCTTCCCCTATTTTACGAAGGATGAGCGCTTAGAGTTGTTCAAAACAATTCAGCTTGAGTTTTCTGTAGGTGGCCTCGTTTCGCTTGGTAGGACTGCTATCTGAATGCCGAAATTAAAATGGCTTTGAAATTGTACAGCAAACAAGACTAATGAGAACGTTTTGAAGGCATTCAGAGTGAAAAGAATTCATTCTCCACGCTTTGACTCGTTCACGTTTAAAAGTTTTTTGTTCATTCTGCAACAGTAAAAATCACAGCTGAATAAGAGAATTTTATGCACGAGCGTACAATAAACTTTAGAGAGAGCGTACGTTCTCTCTCGATCGACAATCTATCCCTCTTTCTCTCAGGAAGGTGAAGGAGGGAAAAGACCATAAAAATGAAGAATCGGTTGTTCTGGTGGATCGCATTATCAAAACTCACTTAGGGCAGTGGCGTTCGGTCACTTTCTCAAATGTACGCGCCCAACTTTAATATCCACGCAGAGCGATTTGCTTCTGTGGATTTCAGGCGCAGTTCCGTTCGGCGAGCATTTATCACGGCGATTCCTCTCTTCCCAGTCTGAAGCTTTATCGGACACTGACGCTGTGCGCTCGGAGAGGGCGAGAGATTTATTAGTTTATTACGCCGAAAACGGATAAGCGCGCGGCGCACTGGCATTCAACGCACCGATGCTCGCGCACTTCCATTGCAGCGCTAGCTAAGCCGCCAACATCTTGCATCGCGCCGGCTGCCGCTCGTCCGCGGCGCGCGAAAAGTCGTCTCTCTGCCTATTTTTCATCTCCGCGGGCGCGCACGCTGCCGCGCTGCTGCTGATTATGCCAATTAAATTCAGACTGACGCGGCATATCTATTTCCAGATGGCTACGCGAGCGTGTTACATAACTCCGTGGCGGCAGACGGCACTGAAATTGCATCGCGGTGAAACATTATCGCGCGTGTTAATGTATCGTTCTGCTGGGAGGACAGTCCAATCGTCCTTGAAATTAGCTAAACAATTCCAATTCGTAGGATCTTTATAACGCACACCGTTCTGCGATTAAATTTCAATGTATTTGTTCGTTTCGAATGCCCGGCAAGCCGTCAAAATCTCGGACTCGTCACCGCGCGCCTGAGATCATCTGTCGGATAGCAAATCGAAGAAGGCAAAAGAGCCGCGGATTGGCAGATGACGCGAAGCAAGACGGTGAAGTAAGTGACTCAACGACTAACGAATCGATGGTATACTTGAAGGCTATGTGCATCGCCACGTAAACCCCTTTATTCTTGACATAATGAATTTTCCAACTATATCGGAGAATCTCAGAGCGCGGATCCGGGCGAAAATAAACGCGTAATCCGACGTCTGTTCGATTACGTCCAGCTCCGCGCCCTCCCAAAAGGTTTTTCGCTAGCAATTGTCGGAGAGCGGGAAGCGGTAATGAAAGTTTGGGTCGCTGACAAACGGGCGCAGCTCCATCTCCGGGGGATCTAATTATCGGATTCTGTCATTTTCGCGCGGCTCCCGCCACCGCTCCCGTCTCAGCTCGGCTCTGCACTACGAATTATTCCAGTCCACGATTCCTGCTACCGATATTCACTCCTGAATTAATATGGCATTTACGTCTCTCAGTTTCATTTTCGCTGATCGATTATTTCACGTTATACCTACAGCGAGTGATGCTAACTTATTTCATTAAATCACGCCTACTGCTATTATTCGCATTCTTTTAATGAATAGCTGTCTCGAATATCAAACAATACTCCACTGTTCATTAATCGTTGAACGACAATTCTCATGAAATCAGTAATGATTTAAAATGAATCAAGTAATTATATTACTATTAACAATGTTCTAACAACAGTTTCTATGAAATAAAATTCTTCCTGGGTGAATATTTATTTAAAACAGAAATTAACGAAAAAAAATATTGTTGTGTTCATTATGACACTGACATTATGAAAAATTTGTTATCAAAATCTGCGCTATAAAATATATCGTGAATATAACTAATAAATTATCAGATCGCCATCGATCATTGTCATATAATTAATAATATAATTGATAAACGATCGGATCTCTAAGGATCATCGTTAAATAAATAAACCGTTATTGCTTAGAACAAACACCGTACGAAACCTTAAAAAAATACAGCTACATTACCACAGTAATATTTGTAAGAAAAGTAATGTTGTCTAGATATTTGTCATATAATATATAACTAATAAAACATCCGATCGCCAGCGATCATCGTCACCCAATTAATACTAATCAACTATCTGAACTGCAACGATAATTACTAAATAAATAAAGCGTTATCGCTTAG